TCCCTACATCACATAAAACGGATGTTGATTATATGGACAAATGACATGCCCAGAATTGAGGGGTGCTTCAGATGCTTAGACTTTGTCCTATAACACAGCAATAAATGCCATTTACATAAATACCTAGGAGTCCATATTTCATTCGTAGAGCATTAGACCACAAGTTTCCTCGCTGCCGCAAGAGGCCAATGACATGCAATCCCAGCACACCAGGAAGGTAAGTCTCCCCTTCAAGTGAGTACTGCCTCACTTTATCATCAAACTTTCTCTCCAGAAGTACTAAGGAAAGAGCAGAAATCAGCACATGTTGGTTCAAAATGATAACTCAGTTAAAAAAAGGATTTGCTTTTGGGAAAAGCATGCAGCAGCTCCTAAAAGGAGCTGCAGAGAATTGCATGTTGTTTTATTTTAGTCTATTGATTCACTTTCATCTATCAACACTACACCAATAGCAAAGTCATCTTCCCTGATATTTTCTTTCTTCCCCCACTCCAAAACGTCATCCCCAGTCTGCTGGAAAGGAAAGAAATACCTTTGCTTACCAAGTTCAAATTAGATCCAAAGACCTTTTAAATACCCCATCTAAACTGATATTTAGAGAAAGGTGGAATATTTACATGCGTGAGCATGTGTATGCTCATACATATGCACGTGCAACTATAGGAAGTTGTATAAAACCATAACAATGACAGAATTTGGGAAACTATCAGTTAATGTTTCTGTAATAAAATGATTCCTTGCAAATGTTAGTGCTATTTAAAATGTTTTGCTGCTCAGGACCTGTAATCAAAGGAAGACATGTATTTTGCAGTGTAATTTACTGTACAACTGCTATTATTTTCAAATAAATGGCATACTGACCTCAGATGTTTTCAAAACGCACCCCATTGATTTTAACAGGATTTTAGAATAAAAACTAAAAACCAGGAAACCACAATGCATTTTTTCTCAGCATATAAACTATATGTCCTAAGGACTACAGGGGAATAACAGGTACTCATTTTCCTCTAACCTGAAAGAAATGCTGCATCCTTCAATAAATTATGCAGGGATACTGACAGGGCCATTTTCTTGCCAAGTTGTTTAGTGATGTTTCCTGACAGAATGATAGGACTGCCCTGTTTTACCAGCTTGACCTCCAGCTGGGTTGTGTATCTCTGCTCTCCATTCACTGTTTGCAAACCTGTCATTCCCTGAAAAAAACCCCAACAGCATAAATAAATTAATATTCAATGCCTAGCTACTACAGACTTGGGCACTTTTGCAACTTGGAGGGAGGAAGATGGAGAAGCAGGGAGAATTTACTTTTCCAACTAAGGGCATGGTGCTGTGAGGCGCTGGATAACCTCAGCTCCCAGACTTTAATGGGAGATGAATGCATATAATACATTGCAGCACTGGGCCAAAAGACTGAAGAAGGAAACAGAAACAAAATCCATCTGATATAGTGTTACTGCAAACAGTGCCTATATGGCAGTTTGGAACTTCGTTGGAGCAGGACAGAATGCAAATGCAGTCGTCAGCAATTGGAGTTTGGGTATATCGTTTGGGTTTATCACTCTGTTGAATAGTGGAGAAAATCAGAAATATCCTGATTGAGATTGTACTGTAAAGACAACAGCTGGTAAACAGCTACACTTATTATTGAAAAATGTATAAGGTTTCTCTAGGATTGATTCTTGCAGGGTAGAGTATCCAACTTGTGGACCCAAACAATGAATGGAAAAAAAAATTAAAAACTTACTGCCTAATTCCTGGGAAGTGAATTTAAAAAAAAAAAAATCTTAGTAGGAGTGCAGTGCTAAATGTCCATCTTAATGTCTTCTGTTGTTCTGTAGTTTCAGTGTTAGCACAGTCTTATTCTTTCCCACAACTCATTATATATATATATTTTATAAAGAGTATACTACTTGGGACATTCCTGTCTCCACAGAGTTCATACAAGTGACCAGCTGAATCTGGGCTCAGACACTGGGCTCATTCTGGCCAGTTCTGTAGGGCCAGAATACAACTTTGCATTGTAAGACTGCACAACTTCAAAATAGAGCCAGCTGCAAAGAAATCAGTTCACAATGCATTCATCTGGAATTAAGTTCAAGTTAAAAAAATCCCAGGCCAAACCTCATTCTAAAATCCCAGGCCAAGGCTCCAAGCCTGAATAAAGAATAGGAATGGGTGGGCAAGGGGATGCCTGCAATCACTCAGCACAGTTCCAGGGGTTTGCCTGCTAGATTCTACTTAAAGAATCAGGCTCTCAGAATAATAACACTAGGAACTACATTCAGCACAAAGTCACATCCCATAAGACACTGCTGATAACTCTGCATAAACTGGCAGCCACTGGGGAGTAGCAGGGTAGTACAAGCTCTAACTCTGAACCATATTAATGAGGGTGGCCAGAAGAGGTCAGTATTAGAACACCATAGTGTGAGCGTATGCTATCAGTCAGCCCTAGAGCTGGCACAATTTAACCTAGCTACAGCAATTTAATGTAGAAGGCTCTGTACTCCATTATCACTCCTCCAACTATCTGTAACCATTAAAGCCTGGCTCTCTCCTTAATATCTGGGAAAGCATGAGGGATTAGAATATACATTCACATACTGAATCAAAGCCTGCTGAAGTCTATAGGAATCCATCCTTCTGACTTCAGTTGACTTTGGAAAAGGTCTGTATTATTTTAATCAAGAAATGTGAATGATACAACAGTACTTTAAATAATAAGTTGGAACCTTTCTTAAAGTTATTCCTTTGCAGAGATTAAACCAGTGATGCTCAACCTTTTTGCCTGATAGGTAGTATCCACGGGCCAGATTGGTAGCGTCCAGTCCATCTCCAGGTGAGATCCGACTTCTGCTCCCAATCCAGCACCCCAGGGCCCTATCCAGCTGCACAGAGGGTCATGGGGGATAGCTCAGCTCCAATCTGGCTCTAAGAAGGGAAGGGGGCTTGATGTGGCCCCAACCCAGCCCCCTGGAAGGGGAAGGGGGCATAGCCTAACACCAACCGATCCAGACAGAGGGAAGGGGTCACAGCCAGCTGTAGGGCTTGGGATTTGGGAGTTTGGCAGCAGGAGACTGTGACTGTATTAACTTGCCACTGCTTCCCTGCTGCCAAATATCCTGACCTGTGGGGAGTTCTGTGGGTCAGATGCCATGGCTCCATAGGCCACATCTGGCCTGTGGGCCAGAGATTGACCACCCCTGGATTAAACAATTTAGTGATGATTTACCACTATGTGGATCTGTAAAAAAAACCCCAAAAACAACCCTAATTATTTCTTGTTGTCACACAATTCAGTACATGTATATTTCAGTACAGTACATTGTCCTTCCAGAGGGATATTTTTTTTTATCTTTCCTCTATTTATGTATTCATTTGCATATTGACATTTTGGGTCTGAAGACCTACCTTAATGTAATATACATCTTGGTCATCTAGTATCAACTCCAGGTGTCCAATTCGTGAATTCTTAGAGAGCTCAATTTTTCCTTAGAGAAAAATACAGGCACTTATGTTTTTGGTTGCATATGCAGTTACAATAAAATTTCACTTTTACCATGTCTTGTATAAAAATATATCCCAACACGCTGTTTAAAATTGCAACATACTGTTAACAATGCCATAGTTAAACAGTAAATAATAGAAGAACACTCCTGACTGACACTACCTGAAGATCTCTCTCTTAACTGAAACACCTACCATCCATTTGGATTTTTTTCTTTGGTTGTATGAATTGAATTCGGAATTTCTTCTGTGGAACATTAAAATTTAGCTCAATACCAACATCCCGTTTCAGGTCTGACTTTGGAGTCCCAAAAAAGAAATGAAGGACAGCTTCATTTGGCATCCAAGAATCTTCCTAGGAAAAAATGAAAATGACTTTTGCATGTGGTACTGCATACAAAATTAAATCTGACACACGGAATCACTCCATAGCTTCATTGCTATGCTGAGAACTCAAATCTGCTTCTCTAACTCCTCTATAAAACATTCCATTTCTCATCCCCAAGTCATTTGAACTTTATTTATTTTTTCATTCCAAGTGTTTAACTCTCACACACGTTACCAAAGCAAGAGGCTGAATCTTCTATTCTGTGTCCAGTGCTAGATTGGGAATTTTCATCTGAACGCCTGCACAGTTCACAATAGAATGAACACCTCTTACAAAAACACTGAGCCCTGCCAAAATTTGGGGGCAGTTGGATATAAGGTCCATGTTAAGATCTAAACTTTTCAGCTCAGGCTTAATTCACTTAAGCCTTTTCTGTTACTTTAATTAAGACTCTTAATAGTCTATATTTTCCTAACAAAATCAATGGCTGTCATTGATCAGGACAGATTTGGGCATTAGAATATTGCAATTTTGATTCATAAACAAATTTGAGAAAAAATATCAGAAATTCTGCTGAAAATAAAGTGGGAGGCAATAGTCAATATTTGGTTTCTAATGCTAAGCTGTGTAATTCAGTAATAAATCCACGACTAACTGAAAAAAATCAAAGGGCAGTCCAAAAGAAGCTATACTGTCTATGGCTGTGCCAGTAAGTTTAGGCTGTCTCTGCATTTAAGTCCAGCTCAAGGTCTGAAAGTCCCAATCCATAGTATTTACCCATTAAAATCTTCACAGTGCCATAGGTCACAAATGCCAAATGGCTTTGCCAATATTTTATCAACCTGGAGGAGGAGAGGTTGTACGAAGAAAGACTGCAGGAGGCACAAAGAAGTTAACCTACATGCACATAGTTTAAATCCTAGTTGCCATTGCAGAACATCTGTAAATAGTTCTCTTAATAAAAAGTCATGTTATTTTTACAAGCATGGAGTCCTCTTATGATCTTAGAGTTTGGTATACGAAACAAACAGTACATCCTATTTTCCCTGCATTCCTCTTGGCTGCCAATCATTTCCTGTTGGGGGGGGAGGGGTGTGATTTAGGCACATCTTTGACATGAGGTAATTTCAACTCAGAAGTGTTTTTCCATCCTTTTGGTTGCTCTTACCCCTGATCACTTTATTGTTCCTTCATTTCATTAAATATGGATGGTTAAGTTTTCCTGGTTTTGTCCATGTGAGGCCACTTCTAACCAGATTTACATCTTCCAAATACAATGTGTCTACTAGGAAAACACACGTATGAAGCAATTTCCTGAAGTCCATGTTTCAGTTGTTAAAAATTCAGTGATAAGCTAGGGGTCCAGGTTTTCAATTTGCCAAAGAAAAATGTGCCAAAATATGGATTTTCTCTTTTAAAGGGTTTCCCCTTACAGGCTAGTGGAGTTCCAGCCTGCAAGGGCTGGGTGGAGCAGAACATGGGGGGCCACATGCATATGTGCATGCACATATGCACATGGCATCCAGGCAGTGTGGTGGAGAGTAGGTCCTGCAGCTCTCTCCAGGTATGTCTGGGGGGGGGGAGCATGTTCCCCTCTAAGATTACTGTACCCGCAGTGGGGCACAGGGCTGCAGACTGGATGAACCAGCTCTAGGCAGGTGCTGCCTCCGCGGCCCAGCAGATGGGACCTGGTGCAGGAGGGAGTGCCGCACCACCGTGGCCAAAGTCAGGTGCCCCCTGCCTGCCCAGCAACAACAGCAGGGGACACAACTCTGCACCGCCACCACGCCTCGCCATGGTGGTGCGGCACTCCCTCCCTCCCATGCCAGGCCTTGCCTGCTGGGCTGCAGTGGCTGCCACTGCCAGTCCAGCCCAGCTGTAGCCCTGTGCCCTGCTGTAGGTGCAGAAATCTGGGATCTGGGAGGTACGTGTCCCCCAACCCCTCTCAATACATGTTGCCTGTGCCAACACCCCCCCCCCTTGCCCACACACCCACCCCCTTCCTCACACACTGGGATGGGGAGGGAAAGGGGTTGTGGGTCAGGAGTGAAGGGCCAGGAGGTTGTGGATTAGGAGTGAGGGGCATTGGCAAGGCTGGGAAGGCTGTGGGTTGGGAGTGAGAGGCAACGGCATGGTAAGGGGCAGGGGCAGGGTACTGGTGTATCAGTGCCACAAAGCAGTAGGAGCCACAGCCACAGCTGGACCCATGTCTTGGTGAGTGAAGGAGAAAGGGGGAGCTCTGATTTTTCATGATAAAAAATAAAAAAAAACCCAAAAAACACCAAAATATATAGGTATTTAGAATTTATTTTATTATAATAATTGAGTCACTGCTAGGCTTCCAAATTGCTTTAAAATTGTAAATATATCAATAAAACATTGTGTTCAACTGATACCTACATATATAGTGGTATTTGATTTTAATCACAGAAAACATGGAGTTTGGGGCTTTTAAATCAGAGAATTTAGGATTTTTAAATACAGAAAACCAAGATCCCTGTTGATAACCTTGCATTTCAAAATAGGACCTAGAAAACTGTCCTTGGAAAAAAGAGAAATCTTTGTCATCTCTTCCAAAGGGCAATAAACCTTCATTTTAGGCCTTGTACATGCAAAAGGGCTAAATCAAGTTAAAAAATAATCTAGTTCAGTTGGTGCATACCCCTAAGGTATATTCACTTGAGTCTATTTAGCTCCTACTTAAAATTAATTTAGCTTTGAAAGAAAAAAAGCTTTCTTTAGCAAGTATCAATCTGGTAAAAGTGTCCCGATTAAGGGTTACTACTGATTTAACCAGATTTAGTTATAAATCTGTTTTACACTTTGAAAGTATAGATCAGGTATCAGTAAGAGGCACCAGTTCAGCCATTCTGGGTTCTACTCCAAGCTCTTGCCCAGGCCACACAAGAAGACTGTGACTACTACTTAACCTTTCTGTGTCCTGCCTTTTAAGTAAGTATACTAATATTTAGCCACCACAAATAGTTTCCCACACTTTTTCCTTTCTAAACAGGCCTGAATTCCTAGATCAGTGGTCCCCAAATTGGAGTTTGTGACCTTTTTTGGGAACACGAGCCCTACATATATTCAATTGTTCTGGATGAGCTTGGTCCAAAAGTAGGGTTGACCAGAGTTTGGGTCACAAACTTCAGAGTGATGAAATGGCTTATGATTGAGAACTACTGCTCGAGACTGATAACCAATTGGACATACAACATACTTTAACACTGCTATACACTACAAAGTAAAGCAATGATTCTCAACCTTTTGAGACTCAAGGGGTGCCTATACATGAGCGTGGAGGCTGCTCCAATGCACTGTAATTACAGCACGTTGGAGCAGACTCAATTAATTGAGTCTGCTGGAACGTGGTCATTACCGTGCTCCAGCCAGTCTCTGCATCTCATGTATCAGTTTCCCTGTGCTTCAAAATGGTGGCAGGGGCGCTCGAACTAAAGCTTGTTGAATGAGCCTTAGAGTTCACGTGCCCTTGCTGCCATTTTAAAATGTAGGGATGCTGATACACGAGATATTGCAGCACTTTAATTAGAGCAGCTCTCAGAGACACTCTAATTAAAGTGCTGCCGTCCCCCCTCCCCACCCGCCACCCCTGAAGCACATGTAAAAGTGCCCAAGGCATCCCTCAGAAAATGTCAGCTCTTTGTTTTCACTGCATTTTTCACTACGGAAAAATAATAGAGCAATTCTTATGCTGCAAAGTGCTTAGAAAGACTACAACAGGTCAGAAATTTTTAGCACTATGGACTGCTATTTGAAAATCTCTGGGATTACTTTGTTTGCATACCATACAGTGCTAACATTATGCAATACCCCATGGCATCCCAGTAAGGATCAAGGCACCCCAGGGTTGAGGCACCCTGGTTGAGAATCACTGGTCTAAGGAAATTAACTCATTTACCATATACAGTGTAAATGATGATGTAACTGTACCTGAGAAACATAATTATAAGCTGCTTCCATCAGGTACTGCTGAAGACCTCTATCTTGCTTTGTTAATGTTACAGATGCTTTCATGGGCCCAGAAAGTGGGAAAGGCAAACTACTGGTTGAGTCAGGGTAAGACATTTCAGAACACAATTGCCAGCCAATAATCTTGGATACTGGTGGAACACAACAGCATCGCATTCAATTAGAACAGAATGAACAAAGAAAACATACCAGCTATCAGATAAACATTGCAAGCAGGTAGCCTATTTTGAAGTAATGTGATGAGAAAGAAATTCTCTGTTGCATAAAACTTTTGCTGTAGGCTCTGGTTCAGATTTCCCTACATGTTAATTTAATTAAAAAATGACAAATGCTATACCAACAGACCTACCTTCCTCACTTGTGCAGGATTTGCTTTCTACACGGTCTTGGAAACCATCAATATTTTCCATTCCATCAGCTGTTGTGAGGTAAATTTTAGAGCTATAATAAAGAAATGCATATAGACCTTTATTTTATCACAGCTGTAAATGTTACACAAAAATGTATTGGCTTGTCGTTAATTCAGTCTCATTTTCTCCTAGGTGTAAAATATAAAAAAGCTCAAGTTCTTCTGGGATCAAGAAGGTATTTGTATTCAGAGAAGCAGCAAGTCATTTTGTAGAAGACCAACACAAAAGCTTATGTGTTGCTTATGCAGTCAAAATAAGTCTTGAAAGGGACTTAATTGGTGCATAAGCTGCGTATTAGCAGTCTAAATTTGCCTGTAAGAGATGCAGAACAATCCTTACTCTAATTTAGATGTAGACCCCACACAGAGGGCTTAATGCTCTCAGGACTCATTTCAGTGCAACTCTAGTAGTGTAACTGAAGAGGGGGTGACCAGGACAGCAGCCCAGTCACTGCCTTTGTAGGAGTGTGCAAAAAATAGCCACCACTGCAACAACAATTCATTGTCCCAATGCAATCAGCAGGGTGGCAGCCCATGCTGCCCTGGGCATTTGTGCCTGCCTCAGGCACAGAGTTGCCCTGCTGCACCTCTGTGCAACACTACTGCCTTCAGGAGAGGAGAGAAAGTGCATTACCTGTAGAGAAGGCAGCTGCTGTCACAAGCAAAAAGGAGAGAAATATAATAGTGAAGAAAAAAAATGTAAACTGAACTGGGGAATTTAAAAGCAATAAATTCACAACTGACAACAATAATTCGGGCCTAAGCCATCCTCTGACAAGAAGAGCAGGGTTTCTTGCTTCTATTTGCTGACTGACTTGAAGACAAGTGGTGCTATGTAGAGTTACCATCCACTTGGTCTTAATCCCAATCCACACAGCAAGTTTCCCATTCAAAACCAGAGAGAACACAAATCCACAAAGGAGAATTCTATGCATGGGGAAAAGTAGAGGGGGAGATGCTGAGAACTAGATAAAACTGCAACTAGTTCACCCTAATTTAAGGTAACTCCATTCATTTCTGAACCTCCATGCTTTCTTTTTAAATGTAGTTTTGGTTCTTGCCACGAGACCAGAATGATTTTTTGTAACATGACAGGGAATACAGGCTCTGGCTTGGATGAAAGGGTTTATAAAGTTGAAACAGTCATGACACATGAACAGGGATCCTGCTTTTCTCTGTTTAAAAATAAAAAATTCTCTGATAAAAAGAAAAAATAATTGTAGATTCTCTGATTAAAACCCCCAAAATCCATCACTCCCCACCCAGAGCCCCCCTCACCCATTGGTGCCCCCAACTCCGCACCTGCAGCCTCCTGGCCCTGCTAGAAGGGCTGTGTGAAATTTCAATGAGTGTTTCATTTCAAAGCTATTTCGACTCGTTTCGAGCTCAAAACAGCGAAATTGAAATGAAACAAAAGGCTTTGAAACAAAATGAGGACACTTGAAACATTTTGAAACTTTTGAAATGTTTTGAGTTTCAAAGCAGGCTTGCTTGCAGCTAAGCATAAACTCAGGAGAGGGAGGGACTAGGGGGGTGGGGAGAACTGCTCTGATATTGACATCTAGCTACTGGTTCGATGCCCCAGCTCTCTGATCGCTTCCCCCAGCTCTTCCAGGGGGGCGCAGGCTCCTGATCTGCTTGTGGGGTTTCAGCAGGCTGTTAAATCCAAAGCTATAAGTCATAACAAGAGTGGCAAACAAGACTTAATAAATGCAGAAAATGCATTGGGTCCAAAATACAGGCCAATAAACTTGAAGTATATAACTCAACACAGCCTCTAACTTATTTAATTGGTAGAATACAGAGAGAAAATTGCTTGATTTTGGCTTTCATTCTTTCAAAGATTAATGAGATGTCATCCATCTTAGCTTTCAGAAACCCCCTGCCTGACAGCCCTACTCCTGCTCCCACCAGCCCCTTGCAGGCTGGAACTCTGCCAACCTCCAAGGAGAAACCCATCATTTCCCATGTTTTTCTCCTTAAAAGGAGAAAATCTGGGTTTTACCGCATTTTTCCATGGTGAATAAAAAACCTGGATCCCTGCACGTGACATAGATTGAATTCTATTGTACAGTAATTATTTAAGATCTTATTTAAGTAAGATTGCTGAAGTTTATTCCAAGATGTAAATGCTAGGTGCTGAGGGAAGGAAAGGTTATGTGTATTTGGCACTAGCTGTCCTCCTTTAATGTTCATTGTTTTTGCACTACACTGAAAATTAACTTGCAGACAAGCTACAGATTGGCCTCTAAACCACAGAATCTGAACTGAGCTTCCTAAGTTTTCTTCCTTAGCAGAAAAAGCACCGGAACTTTCCTTTTTCCTTTCCTTATTGCTCTTATCAGGGTGAAGATAGAACAGATGTGGCTTCCCCACACAGGATAGGAAAGGATGAGTGAAACGAGGCAGGGGATATCCAATTTGGCCTAGGCAGGTGTTCAGGGACTGGCCTCCCCCACAAAAGACTATGCAATCTTCCATCAAACCTTACCATTCTCTATAGACCTCCAGACAACACAGCCAGTTTACTTAACCTGCAGTGCCAGGTCAATGATATGGACCTATGCACCTATAGGAAGAAAAATTACTTCCAAGCTATTATCAGAAAAATATCTAAATCCCAACCACAGTTAAATCCAAAGCTATAAGTCATAACAAGAGTGGCAAACAAGACTTAATAAATGCAGAAAATGCATTGGGTCCAAAATACAGGCCAATAAACTTGAAGTATATAACTCAACACAGCCTCTAACTTATTTAATTGGTAGAATACAGAGAGAAAATTGCTTGATTTTGGCTTTCATTCTTTCGAAGATTAATGAGATGTCATCCATTTTAGCTTTCAGAAACAAAATTAAACCAGTAACCTGCTCATGGTCTTAAAAGGAGAGAGTACTTTAAATGCTAATTCTACCACCTTGAGCTCACAACTGGTCTGCCTGCACATCATAGAGTATAGCAAAAGGTACAAAAGCAAGACGGATACAAAAGCAACAATCCGTATGCTGCAAAGCTTTCATAAATCTGCCATAACTTCCAAGTGGCCAGAGCATGTGGCTTATGATATGTCATCATATCCAGCTATGTTTCTGATCAAAGAATTTTCCACTGGACTATCAAATCTGAAGGTTGGAAGAAAACAAAAAAAGGCTGGATATACAAACTAAAAAGCCCAGCTTTCATTAGCACAAACACTTTATCTGTTTACAATCTGGAATTTGTTGAGGCACCATTTCATGAAGCATCCTTTACCGAATATATTCAGGAATATAAGCAGACACTCGCTAGAAGAGTACATGCACAACTCAGATAATTATGGTCTATCAAATGATGCTACTTATTTTTATACTTAAATTTTTTTAAATCTGCAGGAATATATCTGTTTTTGCTGCACTAGCATAATTCCCTGATACACAGAAGCTTCAGAGAAAACAGAGCATTGTTGTCAGGGGAAATAATGTAAAAGAAAGAGGAAAAATATTTTGGGGGATAGCAGCAGTTCATTAGTGTCATAACTCTAAAAAATCCTGTACAGGAAAGTCATCAAGCTAGTATTGCATTCTGATAGTAACATGGACAAATTTCTAGTGAAGCAATATAATCATACCTGTGTAATTCCAGCTGCTTTTATTTTTGGCTGGCAGCTTTCTACTGCCATCTAAGTTAGACTGCAACTGTGTTTACTGCTAAAGTACATTCATAGTATCTATAAGAGAAAACTGAATTCAGATGTAAGCTATTGCACTGCTTACAACCCTTCTAGCTAAATTCTGATTCTGCAATGGGATCACTGTTAGTTTTTTCTGGAAGATGTACTCATTTGGTCTTACCTGAAATCAATTATTTCCATGGATTCTTCAGGGGTGTTCAAAAATGCTTTAAGTTCTTGTCCTTTTTTTACCTGGATTCCTCCATCCAGGCTGGTTGATGTCTTCACACCAGTTACCCAGGCCAAGCCAGTTTTTCCCAGAATCCCCACAGTTCCCATTTGGGTAGAAATCTGGATAAATGCACTTCCGAAGAATGCCAAAATAAACAAACAAACAACAAACCACAGTTTCCTTTGAAAAATACCGTTTTTGTTGCCAAGATCATTATCTAAAGGACAGGCTTCTTCCCTGTAACAAATATCTCCTTTTTGATACCACATGCTTTTTACTGCTAACTTTAAAATTAGAGTGGATGTTCTGTCCTATTAAGCAACTTAAAATATTCCAAACATATGAACATACAGTTTTAGTATGAGACACAGCTATCTGTACAAGCTGAAATAGTAGCTGGACACAAATCTGCACTTTACCAGCAGGTCTTGAGAGAAAGCAAAATGACTGGACTCAGTTATCTAGGGTAAAAAGTTCTCTACATATGATATAGCAAAGGTAAAGGAAACAAATCAAAAACACCTCTCTATGTCTAGGACGGAGACAGGTAAGAATATACAGGGCATCATATATCTCCACTAACACCAGTTAAACATCGAACTAATATTTCTGTTTTCAAATGTTTGCAAAATATCTTAAAAATCTTGCAAAACATAATGTGATGTGTACCAACATTCAGGAATAAGTCAGCATGCAGTTTTACTGAGTAGTCTCAGAAGAAGGATGAAATACTTGGGTTTACCACATTTTATTCCTAGCGGAAGGATTTTGTAGACTTGCTAGAGTTCTATATCCAGCACACACAAAAAATCCAGGACAAAAAAACAAAACAAAAACAAACAAACTAACAAAAAACAGCGCAAAGAAAAAATATTTGTACGAACATCTGTTTTCAGGAAGCTCTTTGGAAGAACTGTTGGATAATGGATGAATTATGTGAAAATGCAAGACAAATACCAGAGGTATACAACTTGGATTCAGATTAGACCTTCTCTCCTGAGTTAATAGGGTGGCAGGAAAAACAGAGAGAAGGAATATTTTTGGTTTAATTATCCTAATGGAAAAGTCTCATACAATTAAAAAATACATAAACTATGCCCTATACTACAGTCCCCGTAGCTAGGGACAGACATTACACATAAACCAGTTTAAGAGATCAGAAACTGGTTTCAACCTGTAACAGAATAGAAGTTCAGTGCATAAAAACCAGTTTCAAACTGGCCAAAACCAGTTTGAGATGAACCTGGCTGAATGTAGTATCAGACTTAACTGACTGGGCTCAAACCGGTTTATGCTGTCTGTCCCAGACTCCTTCCTAGTTTACCTTAAACCAGAGTCCCCCAGGATCCCGGCATGCTCGCTGGGCTGGGCTCTCTGCTCCAGCCCTGCAGAGCTGACCCCACCCCTCAACCCCAGCGGGTCAACGCTGCCACAGACTGCACGGGGTGAGCGCTGGTGCCAGGGCTTGGAGGGGGTCATCACCGCCCAAACCTCCCTAGCACTGCTGCCGCTTGTCTCCAGCGGCTTTCCCTTCCCCACCCCCACCTACAGCATGCCTCCTTCACTGGGAACAGGCCCATGCTCCAGGATACTGTAACAGGGGCTCTTGCCCCCATGATGGTCGCTCCCCCTTTACTGCTCCAGGGGCGGGGGCACAGCCAGATCCTGGCCAGCAGGGCCCCCTTAGGCAGGAGGCCAGGTGTGGGGTTATTCCCCTCTCTGCCCCCAGGGGACTGCAGTGGGGTCTGTCAGCCCCGACTGCCACTGCTCACAGGGAGCAAGCAAGAAGATAAGCCCTGGATACTGGAGGAAGGGGAAAATAACCCCCATCCCTGCCCCCCCACCTAAGAGGCCCTCCTAGCTAGGCTCTGTCCATGCCCCAACTCCTGGAGGGTGGGGCAGACAAAGCTGCCGCAGACAAGTGGTGGCGGTGGTGCTGGGGGGAGGGGGGGGTGATAGCTCCCTCTGAACTCCAGTATCACCACCTACCCCATGCAGTCTGTGGCAGCTCTGACCCCTGCTTGCACCCCTCTGACCAGCAAGAGGCTCACACTGCTGCTCCAGGGGCAGGGTGATAATTCCCCCTTCTCTTTGGCATCTGGAAGGGTGGAATAAGTGGTGGCAGTGGCAGTCAGGGCAAGCTGACTGTGCTGCAGTCTCCCGGGGTCAGAGGGGGTGGAGGGAGTAATAACCCCGCTTCCTGCCCTCCCCCCCCCAGGAGCCATACAAGCCAGCGTTTTGCTATGTCCCCAGCCCCACCACTGCAGCTGCCTCCCAGCACAGCTTCCATGCAGCTGTGGGATGCTCTAGTGCCCCCCCTGGCTCCTGGCCTGAGCCATTGCAGGCATGTGCCAGCATTTCCTCAGTCCTGACAGAATTTCTTTGCAGTTGCAAACTGATTCAATCTAGGCAGGTTAGACTAACCTGCAAAGATTGAATCAATTCAGGCTCCATCTTTTTGAATTTCCATCCTTAGCCTTTGAGACTGGAGACCCCATTCTCCAGCACCATTTAGAGAAGGTTTGGGCAAAATAAGGCCTGTGGGCCAGATGCAGCCTACAGAAGAACTCTGTCCAGCCCACAGTAGGGTCCCTTGGTCCTGTCTGGCCCAGGCACCATATGGCCTGTGGCGTGTCCCACTGCCCCCAGGTGCACAGAAGAGCTGGGGCACTTCTGCAGCTGAACTCCATTTTCTGGCAGCCATGGTAGTGGCAGCTCCTTCCAGCTGCTGCCACCACTACCAGCCCTGGTCCCATTGAGCCCAGCTGGGACCTGTGCCTGCAAGGTCTGTGCCCCAGGCTGAACACACAGCCCTGGCCCATCCCACACAGGGGGTCAGGGTCCCTGCAGTGCTGCTCCATACCCACGCAGCCATGATGAGCGGTGGTGGTGGTAGCTGAGCAAAAGCTGCTGCTGGGGGCAGGGAAAAAGCAGACCTGGCCACTTTCCCTCGCTGCTGCCAGGCCCTTCTCACTGCGGCTACCCGGAGCTGATGCCAGGGCTGCCCTGTGGCTCCACTCCACAGACAATGAACAGCCTTATAAAATCCAAAGGAAAGTTATCTGTACAACAGAAAAAACAACTCATGAGATCACCTACCTGCAAGCCTGTAGGAAGTGCCTTACAGATACTCTAACTAGGATGACTAAAGAATATGGTTGACAAAGAGGCAGCAAGAAAGGTTTTAAAATCAAACAGTCAGGAAAGAGAACATAGCAACATATAGCACAACAGTGATCATGGAAGGAAATCTCCAAGGATTTACTAATTGGTCAACTCTGCTGCTCCATATGGAATTTGTACCCAAAACATCCCCACATCTCCTTGCTGTCAGAAATGTGTGGAAGTAAGAAACATATGTAACAATGCACCTGAATTAAACAGATCTGCTCTCTATTAACCAAAGCATACCTTGGCTTGATATATCCATTAATGAAAAAATTTGATCGGTGCTTGAAATCCACATCCCCTTTGATTTTTACACTGATTGCTGCAGAGGCATTTAAAACCAGCTGAACTGGAAAACCTGAAATTGCTGGGAAGAGCAGTTCTTCAGTGGCCAAACTCAGTCTTTTATTAAACGGGATCTCTTGACCCTATGGTAAATAAAACAACATAGAATTGCTATCAGGAAGTCAGCCTACAAGAATTTTTCCAGATTTAGGTTTGGGATGAAACCATTCACTGTAGATTTTCCAGAGCATTCCCTTTCCTTGGCAGGGCTTTTTCACCGAGCTGAATTTGGAAGTGGAGAAGCCAGCCCATCTCTAGAAAAGGCACCAATACAGCTAGACCACATCCTGTGCGAGTTCAAAAACTATGCGTTATTTTGCTCTGAAATATGAACTATTTCGTACCAGGAGACCAAGATAAGAATAATTAAGACTAGGACAAATTCTGTTCATAGCAGCCCTGATGTATCCCTGTTTGCTGCTATTCAAAGCATAATGTGTCCTACCTAGTTTAAATCATATACATTTCCTAAGTCCTAGGGTTTCTGAAAAATGCTCTGTTGGTTTGATATAAAAGAATAATAGGCTGTGATCCTCACAGCTCAAAGCACCCACTTTCAAATGGTAAAATAGTCCTTTTTACCTTTAGAAGCTTGACAGCTAGTTCCGCCAGGTTCAGGGAATAATGCTTCACTTTCTTTCTTATATCTTCACAGTCCAAAAAGCTGAGTTCATTTCCAAAGATCTTTATGCTCAGTTCACATTTCAACTCCTTCTTCCGTCCCAGTCGATCAGTGAACTGACATGGAGTGGTACAAAGATGCTTAGAAGGAGGAGATATTTATACCAAATACCTTTTAAACCCACATCAAACAGATTTGCAGTACAGTTCATATTATGAATCGGAGGCATATGGAGGTAGGAAGATTGCATCTTATCCCTCCATAAAGGTTCCAAGCCTACATCACAACCTAGTTAGCAGGCACGCAGCATCCTGTATGGCATCACATCGGCTCCAACTCACATATTGACCATCTGGCTTCCAGCCAGGAGCAAGTTTCATTCGTTTCCAACTGAAATGACTAAGATAATGGAGGAACAGGACTCCTCTCCTAAAACACTGAGGCTCACTGAATCAGCTACAAACAATGCTATGGGGGGTTGGAAAATTTGGGACAACACAGCCCCCAAGCCCTGCTGAAATACTTTTCTTTATTATTATTTCCACTGTGAATAAAGCTTACACTTTCCACGGTAGCACTATTTGCCACTCCAACTTGCTAGTCTTTGCTAATTGCCATATCAATTTCAGCATACCCCTGCCCCCAAAACACAGCCATTTCCCCAAATAAATGTACTAAGAAAATGCTCAGTGTCAATCTACTTGGGGAATATGGTTCCTTACTGCTGTGGAAATCTGTTTGATGTTTCTCCTCAACACTCTGAAGATGTTCATGTATAGTACAGTATTTCTAATAGAACTGATTAAACTGATTTGTTTAACATTGTTTCTCCCGTGTGTTGTCAAAATTTGAAAATTTTCAACAACTTTTCAATGTCCTGAAATTTTTGTGAATTACTTTTTTGGGAATGGGAGGTTATTTATTTCTTTGTTTTAAGATTTGTTTTAACCTTTTGCTTCCTTTACCTTGTAGTTGCTGCAGGTTCTTACAGCTTTCAATTTGTAATCCTTAGCAGTGGAAAGAAAGGCCTCTGTCATGCAAGCATTCACATGCACACTAAATCTTAAACATGTGGCAGTCACCATCAATTTTAGTAGCACTAGTTCATCCTTAAAATTAAGCACTTGAATAAATGAATGTTTGACCTAAGTCTGTCTTAAAAAAAACACAGTCAATTATGATAATAAAAAACAATGACTTTACCACTATATCCACACCAAACCTCACAATAGGTGTGAAGTTTCTTAATGAACACTGCCTGCTATAGACTATGATGCAGATTAGCATATAACCATATTCTGTGCTGTCTATCAAGGTGTTATACCACACCTGTTTTAAGAGCTCATTCTAAGTCACTTCCCCTTGGAAAGGGGAACTCAAAATAAAACTATACATCAGTGCTTTCAGACCGTCTTCCAACCTACTGGCCAGTTTTGCCTGGAAGACAACTTACTGCAAATGTCTTCAGTTCATTGGTCAGTGAAGAAAAGAGATGCCACTGCAGCTCAGAGAGCACACACAACCACATGCATAATGAAAAGCAACAGGGCACTTCTCATAAGCTCAATATTAAGGGCCTGCTCATGTCCTAACTGAAGTCAGTGGACAAAAAGGGCATTTATACATGTGCTCCAGGAGGGCCAGGGGGGTGCTTTTAATTAGAGTGGCTCTGAGAAAGTGCCTGGAGCATCACATGTATCAGTGTCCCTGCACTGAAAAATGGTGGCGGAGCACTTTAAAGCTCCCTGAAAGAGCTTCAGTTAAAGCACCCCTGCCGCCATTTTTCAGCACGGGGATGCTGACACATGTGACACTGGAGTCTGCTGGATTGCAGTAATTACCATGCTTCAGCAGACTCGGTTAATCAAGTCTGCTCCAACACGCTGTAATTACAGTGCATCTAGCAGCCTCTATGCATGTGTATAGGCACCCAAAGAAATCAATAGGAACAAGACGAGGGGCAAGCAGGAAGAACGTTGCCTTCTAATTGCAGGGAAAAATCCAGACTTAGTGGGGTTCACAGAAACCTCGTGGAATCCTACCCATGACTGGGTGGTGGGCATTCAGGGATACACACTATATAGAAGGGACAGTACTGGGAAGAAATGCAGGGGTGTGTGTGGGGGCGGGGGGGGTCGCCTTCTATGTCAAAGAGCAACTCACATCATCAAGAATTAGCCTTGGGGTGGAGGAAGGTCAGACAGAGGCACTATGGGTCAAACTTCAAGGGGGGCAAGGAGAAAGGGATCTTACGATGGGGGTCTATTATAGGCCACCCTGCCAAGGGGTTGAGATGGACCAGGATTTCTCAGTACAGCTTATGGAGGCAGTTGGGTCTAGGAATGTTGTTGTCATGGGGGACCTAAACTACCCAGATATCTGCTGGGAGGAGCAGTCAGCCAGGTCTGACCATTCGCATAGGTTCCTAGCTGAAATACAAGACCTCCACCTTATCCAGGAGGTGCACAGCCCCACTAGGGGAGATGCCTTGCTGGACCTGGTCTTGGCCACTGGGGATGACCTGGTGAGGGGACTGCAGGTCCTTGACCACCTGGGTGACAGTGATCATTGCCTGCTGGAATTCACCATCCAGTGCAGGGTGTTGAGGGCTTATACCAAGACTAAAGCCCCTGACTTCAGAAGGGCCAACTTCAATGAATTTAGGAGATTAGTGGGGGAGGCACTGAGGGCCCAAAAGGTAGAGGAGATGGGAATCCGTGAGGGATGGTCGTACCTTAAGGGGGCGATCCTCCAGGCTCAGTGTGTGACAATTCCTGAGAGAAAGAAGGGGGGTAAGAGTGCCCTGAAACCCCCATGGCTCAGCAAAGGCATTCGAGAATGCCTGAGGGCCAAAAGGGAGGCATACACCCGGTGGAAGAGAGGGGCTACCATCAAGGAGGAATACTCCTCCTTGGCCTGTGAGTGTAGGATGGCCATTAGGAAGGCCAAGGCGGGGGTGGAGCTCAGGCTAGGAACAGGACAGCTCTCCCACCACAGGTAGGGGCAATCTTGAGGATAGCACTGCCAGGCCTCAGGTCTGTGCAGAAGTAGTTGGGGATCTTCTGGAAGGGCTGGATGTTTTCAAATCTGCAGGTCCTGATGCCCCCCACCCACGGGTGTTGAGGGAGCTGGTGGGGGTCATTGCTGTGCTCCTGGCCCAGCTGTACAAGCGATCGTGGTCCATGGGCCAGGTGCCCAGAGATTGGAAACTAGCCAATGTGGTCCCCCTCTATAAGAAAGGGAGGAAGGAGGACCCAGAAAACTATAGGCCCCTAAGCCTCACATAGGTCTTGGGGAAAATCCTTGAAAAAATCATTAAGGAGCACATCTGTGAGGGGCTAGCAGGGGAGATCATGCCCAGAGGAAATCAACATAGGTTCATCAAAGGCAGGTCCTGCCAGACCAACCTGATGGCCTTTTATGACCAGGTAACTAAATCCCTGGATGATGGTGTCACCATGGATGTAGTCTTTCTGGACTTTAAGAAGGCCTTTAACACCATCTCTCACCCCATTCTCATTAATAAACTGAGCAACTGTGGTATTGATGCCTACACAGTTGGATGGGTCAAAAATTGGCTGATGGGGTGCACCCAGAGAGTGGTGGTGGACAGGTTGTACTCAACCTGGTGGGATGTGAACAGTGGGGTCCCCCAGGGCTCGGTCCTGGGGCCTACTCTGTTCAACATCTTCATCAGCGACTTGGACGAGGGGGTGGAAAACACATTGTCCAAGTTTGCCGATGACACCAAGATGTGGGGAGAGGTAGGCACACTTGAAGGGAGAGAGAGGCTGCTATTAGACTTAGACAGACTACAGAGGTGGGCGGATGGTAATAGGATGAGGCTCAATGTAGACAAATGCAGGGTGCTGCACCTGGAGAGAAGGAATCCACAGCATACATACAAGCTGAAGAGCTCCCCCCTTGTGAGCACAGAGGCGGAAAGGGATCTTGGAGTCAATGATGACTCCAAGATGAACATGAGCTGCCAATGCCAGACCACAGCCAGCAAGGCCAGCCATACCTTGTCGTGCATCCAAAGATGCATCTCAAGCCAGTCCAGAGAGGTGATACTCCCCCTCTATGCGACATTGGTCTGGCCTCAACTGGAATACTGCGTCCAGTTCTGGGCAACACACTTTAAGAAGGATGTAGCCTGCCTTGAGAAGGTTCAGAGGAAGGCCACCTAATGGTTGGAGGGCAAAAGGGCAGGCCCTATGAGGAGAGGCTGAGGGACCTGAACCTGTTCAGCCTTAGCAAGCGGAGGCTATGGGGGGATTTGGTGGCTGCCTACAAACTCGCTAGGGGAGATCAGCAGCAAATAGGCAGAGCCCTATTCTCCCCAGCAGCACCTGGGGTGATGAGGAACAATGGCCAGAAGCTGCTAGAGAATAGGTTCAGGTTAGAGATTAAGAGGCACTATTTCACTGTCAGGGGAGGCATTAAGAGGCACTATTTCACTGTCAGGGTAGCTAGGATCTGGAACCAACTTCCTAGGGAAGTGGTCCCCGCTCCTACCTTGGGTAAATTCAAAAAGAGGTCAGAAGAACACCTGTCTGGGGTCATGTGATCCCAGCGTGTGCCCAACCAGTGGTGGGGGGTTAGACTAGATGATCTATTCAGGTCTCTTCTGACCCCTAACTACTATGAAACTATAAGATCATGACTCATATCATGGAGGGAAGCCCAGAGTACAGACAGCTTGTATTCTTCTTCGTCATCTTCTCCTTGTGTCTTGTCTGAGATTGTTAATGACAAGTATTCAGCAGAATCTGCAGATTTGTTAGAATCTGACAGGACCACAACATGAGCGCTTCTGCTATTGCTGTTATGTATAATGTAACAGAGCACAGGGTGTGCTCTGTTACTCCTAAGGGTGTGGGCAGCAGCAAAGCAGCCTGCAGCTGGCCATTCTCCCAATCAGACCTAATTACCTGGTTAGGAACAGGGCCCAGCTGTTCACTATAAGAGCAGGACCCAGAGCAGCAAAGCCAGCAGTCTGCTGCTAGCTACTGGGAGAACACTGCCTGGCTGGAGCTGCTGCTCATGACATCCTGGAGGTAAAGGCAAGAGCTATAGGGATGGCTGGAGCTTCTTGGTCCTGGGGTATGACCTAAAACTACACCCTGCTGGGGAGGATGAGGTGTGGTCAGACTGCCGGTGGTGGGGCAGCCTCCAGGAAATGCCATACCTGGGGGCTTCCCAGTGAAGGATGAGTATGGGGAGCCAGAAAGCCTCAGCCCCTGCTGCCTTGCAGGTGACACTGTGGAGGGGAAAGGCTAGGGGAGCACACCCTGAAGGACAAAGCAAGGGCCCAGACTCACTGTAAGCTCTGAGGCAGGGTCCTGGCCAGGTAAAGGGGCCAGAGACATCACCCAGACTCACTGCGAGCTCTGAGGCTGCAGTAACTAGCTCCAAGGGGGTGGGGCCCTGAGCCTGTGGGGAGCTATACGTGAAGCTCCTGGGGTGAAGGGATAAGGGGACTGTAGCCCAATGTAGGGCAGGGGATGGAACTTGGAGCCCTGAACTGAGAGGAGGCTTACAGCCCTGAATGGGTAGGGGCTGGGCGCCCTGAATAATGGACTGAAGGAGAGTCCAGTGTTAGCGCACAGTGACTGCGAGCTCCAGTGGGGAGTGAGAGTCCCATGTGAGATTCTGGAGCTCGGGTCACAGTGTGAGGCACTAGAGGAACATGGATGCCATCTGCAAGGCATGGGACATGGTACAAGGGAGTTTGGAGCCATGTACATGGGCCCTTGGCATCAGGGCAGGTAAATGGGCAGCCTCCCGCCTTATTGACATCTTTCCATCACTATCATTAACGTGTGGCAGGCGAGGGAGGCGGGTGGTTTTCCCAGAGACAAGTGGGCAGGCAATGATCTGACCGGCCCTGGGACACCCACTTGTTACATATGACTGCTTCAGAATCAAAGCTCTGATTCATATAGTCTTCCAAAAAAAATTGAGGGCCTGATTCTCTATTTCCTTGCACCCTATGTGGTCATTAATATCTGTGCAGAGCATATCTTAACCACTGCCTACTAGTAAAATTCTATACCATTTTGCATAAGAATCAGCATCTGCACAAAGTGCTCAGCAGTGCTTGATTAGGCCAAAAAACAAGTCTAGACTGGCATGACTTTTAGTAGGTGATGAAGAATCACTTACCTTTTTCACTAATTCACTCATCTTATTATACTTTCCACCTGGGCAACTCTGCTTTGCTTTACTTAACTTGGATTTTCCAGCCTTAGTCACGAGACGTTCTCCAGCACTGTATTTCTTTGAAGTCAATCTCTTCTGCTTGGCTTTTCTAGATATTTCCACAGGAATTTCTGATTTGGGATTTCTTTCGTCAGTATTTGAAAACAAGTATTCACTGAAAGAAGTAGATTGTTGGCCAAATATCATCTGTATGAGATCTTCTGCATTCTCTAACCGTACACCAAGCTGAGGAAACACATGCTTCATTTAAAACACTACAAAGAGATGGCTACAGATATGCACACACTCAGGAAATAGAAATTTAACTGACAACATGGATCTAAAGTGACAAAAATTAGTACTCAGGCTCTAATAGGAACAAAGAATTAGCCATACAAGGTCAGAGTGTGGTCCATCAAATTCAAGCCTCGCTCAGGTAGTATCCAATGTTAGACACTTTTTAGTATCAACTCCCATGATACAACTACCTTACTATATCAGGCAGTATATTGAAGAAATATTCCTTTTTCAATCTGGAAGTAGTCCATTGAAAGCATGGAATGTGAATACTGGCTACTTCCAATTTAGTAAGTGACAACTAGTAGCTCTGATTATAAAATGATGCATCCTTTTATCTATAGCACAGAATAATTTCAAGTTTGGTTCCATTTGCCAACTTAACTTGAAATCTGAAAATTCAGCTGAATTGTTTCCTTCACATGCATCTTCATTGGCACTGAAGATTCTACAAACCTAACATACAACTCTGAAAACTCCAGTAACTGAGGGCACAATTTAAAGACAATATGTTGCTTAAGAGTCAGCCCTTTGTAAAAAATCCATCACAAGATGTCAGCACGGACTTAACGCTGGGACTTCAGCATCAAAAACACAGTGTTCTTCCCCTTAAATTAAAATACTAATTATGCTGGAGTCAAATCCTGCTTCCACTATGTCACAACCCAAGGGTGTGATTTTGTTTGTGTGCGCTTCGGCACTGCTAAATTATTGCCCGCCACTCGGAGCTTTCTTTGCAGGGTGCATTTCTTAGTTGCAAAGAGAAATGCACGGTGCAAAGGAGTTCCCGCCATTCGCATGCAAATTTGTGTCCCACTATTGGCCAGTTCTAAATTATTCCCACGTGGCGGCTAGTGATTGGCTTGCTAGCCGTATAAGAGGCTTGAGCGGTTTCTGCCCAAGTTGGAGAACTCCGAGGAGAACCCCGCAAGGGAGGACTCCGCAACCATCTGGAGCAGGAGGACTTCACGTCTCGTGAAGATCTCTAAGCGCTGCGGAGCCTATTGAACCCAGCGCGGGCTATAGGGGTCTGATCAACCTCTGGCCTCTCCCTGTCGCCGAACGATCCCTCGACGTACCCTTCCCTGCGCGCAAGTTCCACGGAGCCTAGCAAACTTCGTGTGAGTGTATCCAGAGCTCTACCCGGGTTCGAGTCCCGCAGGTTTATCTTCCCGTCGCCGAAAACCCATTGCGACGTACTGTCGTGTTTTGCATCTTCCCGTCGCCGAAAACCCCCTGCGACGTACTCTCGTGCCCTGCAGGTTCGAGTTTTGTTTTGTTTTGTAACTGCAACTCAAGCAAGTTTTCCTGCCTGCACCGCGACCATCTTCGGTGTAAGTAAAATAATCTTTAATCAACCGCTACGCGTCCGTGCCTAATTCTAGCCCGCCGGCCTGCATTCCCCGACCCGGCGTGTCCGGGCTGCTGGCCACAGCCCACCGCGCACAGGCCCCCGAGGACCTCGGACCGCTCCTGGCCCGCACACACTATAGTTGTGGAAAGATTTCCATTGACTTTAATTGGAGCTGGATGGGCCTTAGAAACTTGTATCTAATGAACCAGGTACATAAGAGGAACAGGGTTCATTTAGGTTGCATGTCACATTAATACAGGGGAAACGGTTATAAATTTCAGTACAAAATCAGCCTGTAGAATAAAAGATTTTTTTCCTATCCTTGCATGAAGGGTCAGAAGGATAAAATATTCAATAACCTCAGGAAAAAAGCAAAGCTTGATTAAGAAATTGGTACTTGGAAGTAGAAATGGTTTATCTTTGTTTCAATACTCTAGGCTTCCCCTGAATGGGAGGAAAACCAGACTTACCTCTAGAAGATTTATAGCCCGCCCCATAGTATATATGGTCAAGTTTGTCATTATGGATTGTGGAATAAAAGATGCAGGAGAAAAGACCAGTGATGCCTCCATATTGGCACCTGCAGCTCCTGCAATACAAATATCAGCTATCAGGCCATTTGGAGAGCAAATTTTCTCATTTACTTCTCATGTACAATCGTTCTCCAGAATGTTGCTGTTCTGTCCTTTACAGAGGAGAACATTCAGTCAATAAGGGCATCCCTTGCTGAGCTTTTCCTACAGTAAAAGATGTATGGATAGTGCCAGATGCAAAACTTCTGGATAACATAAAGGAAGAGCACTTACAATGCATGGCTTAGGTCCCAGAGGACCCCATCTATTGGAGCTTCACTAAGCATACCTAACTTGCATCAACAGCACTGAATTCAGCTCACAAATAAAGAGGGAGGGGCAGTGGTGCTACTGACACTACCTTTTCCCTAATATCCTAGCACAGGGGTTGTCAACCAGGAGTATATGTACCCCCGGGGATACTTGGGAGAGCCCTAGGGGGTACATGTGGGCAGGCAGGAATGGAGCACCACTACCCCACACCTCCGCCTCCCAGGAGTGGGCCCAGGGAAAGGGGAGGGAGGGCGGGGGCAGCAGCTCTGTGTCCAGTTGCACACCTCTCACCCCCCCCTCGCTCCGTGTCTGGCCACCAGGGGTACACTTACTAAAAAAGTTTGAAAACCCCTGTCCTAGCAGTTAGAACAAAGCAGCCAGAACAGAAACCTGGGTGCCTTCTCTCTCTTGACTGCTTCCTTGGACTGTTCACGTATTTTACATTGGGCTGTCATTGGTTAAAAATAGAAAATACCATATTTATTCAAATCTAAGTTGACCCTGAATTTAAAAAGACCTCCCAATAATAAGAGTCTATACATGGAAAATTAATAAATGTTATAATTTTCCATATATAGATTCTAATTATTGGAGGGTCATCATCTTTAATTCATCTCTCCCACCACTGCAGGGGGGCAGACAGTGGGGAGGCAGGAAATATAGGGAGGTCAAGCAGGTTTCCCCTTGTGCCCATCTCCCTGTCACCTCTGCCCCCTGCCTGCCCCCCCTGCAGCCTTGGGTCCCTCCTCCTCCCCCCTCCCCGCCCTGTCAAGCCTCTGTTCTTCCCCTTCCCCCCAGCATATGCTCCATGCTGGTGGGTACCATCCCCTTTTTAGTCTGGATCACTGAACATGGCCCCAGGCCAGCCTTATAGCAGCTGTGTGGGCTGTACGCCATTGCTATGGGCTAGCCAGGGGCTGTGCTAAGTGTCCCAGGCTGCAGCATGCATAGAGCCTGCTAGCATGGAAAAAAGGTAAGTGGAGGAAGGAGAGGGGCATGCTGGGGAGCAGAGGTTGTAGAGAGGAGATAGTGGGTGCAGAGGCAGTGGGAGGAGAGGAGAAGGCAGGCAGCTGCTGTAGTTATGGCCCTGACCCCAGGTAGGGCTGGAACCTAAGCCAAAGCAGCTGGCTGCTCCCCACCATGCAATTTAAAATAAGAGACTCCACACACACACACACACACACACACCCATGTTAAAATGGGGAAAAAAACTCATCCTAGAATCAAGGAAATAAGGTAACACTGGCAGCAGGGACCAGAACACTATCCATAACTTGGCTGCAATGGCTGTCCACCAAAGTGATTGTCAAATCAAAAGAATTTGTGGCAGGCAGGAAAATTAAGTTCATTGGGCTAATTTCTTTTCACATACATTTATGGCACACTGTAGAGTTCAGTGGACTTCCTTCTGATTTATATCAACGTAAGTAAGACAGAATCATGGTCCTGATTCTGATGCATTTTGAGGTTCTATTAATTCACAATTTAAAATATTCTATGAAAAAAGGAAGAGGTGAAGGAATAGAAAAGCCACAGGGGTTTAACCCACAGGCCTGCTGCACAGCATCCAATTCTATAGCTCAGCACAGGAGCACAGAATGACAGGAAAGTAGGGCTGGAAGGGATCTCACAAGGTTATCTAGTCAAGCCTCCAACTCAAGGCAGGACGATCCCCACCTAACCATCCCAGCCAAATCTAACCTGCTTTTGAAAATTTCTAAGGACGGAGCTTATACAACTTCGCTAGGTAACCTGTTCCAATACCAGATCATCTGCATATTCAGAAAGTTCTTCCTAATCTCCAGTCTAAATTTCCCCTGCTGCAGCTTGAGGCTGCTGTTCCTAGTTCTGTTCCCAAAAGCCACAGAAAAAAGCCCATCTCCATCCTCTCTATAATCACCCTTCAGGTATTTGAAGACTTATGAACTCTCTCTGCCCATCCCCCCAGTCTACTCTTCTCCAAGCTAAATAACCCTAATTCTTTCAGCCTTTCCTCATAAGTCTCATCTCCCAGGTCTCTGATAATTTTTGTTGTCCTGCGTTGGACTCTTCCCAAAATGTCCATGTCCTTGAAGTGTGAGGCCCAAAACAGATGGTGTTACCAGTGCTGAACACAGAAGAATTGATTCACTTGATTTGCAAGTGACAGTCCCGTTGATACAACCCAGGATTCTGTTGGCTTTTTTTGCAAGAAGAGCACACATACCCGAATGGAAAGTGACATCTGAATATGAGGAATATTTCCACATTTCCCAGTCAAACTCTTTGCTAAGAATGTCATCAGGAATGGAATCACGGAGGTATTCTTTCAGTGGGTCGTCTGTCTCCAGGAGTTGAGAGAGATGACTCCAGACAAAAGAACCCACTGAAACAAAGAAAAATTTCTGTAAATCAGAGAAGTAAGAATTGTCCGGGCCAGATTTTTCACTTTACACCTGTGTAAATCAAAATCACTCTCCTGGCTGAGTGGAATTAATTCCAACTTTATACACTTTTATGTAACTGAGATCAGAATCTAGCTCGCTAGTTAATCTCATCAGTGGCAAAGTTATTTAAAACTCAGTCCTAGAGCATCCTAACATCACAGAAAGGACAGATTTTATCTGCAGTTACACTGTTGACAGTTATTAATTTACCAATTGGTCTAATTAAGTGAATAGCTTTTAAAGTTAAGCAACCTCATTATTTGCAGTATGCAAGGGATTTTCTGAACTAAGTGCATCTGGCATGCTGACCAGTTATAGCAGTGTGGCCCTAATGATATATTGTAGATTTCCATTAGTACAACAGAGCAGATTCTCTGTTAATTCACAGTGAAGATTGTCCATTATGTAATAACACATATACAAATTTACATTTAAAGAACAGCCCTGTTGCAAAGTCAAGTATTCAGAAGGTCAGAATGCAACCTTAATTTAGTCCCTTCATTTTGTGTGAATGTTTTTCTTCATGGCTTTCCCCATCACAGGATAGGAAGCTAATAGCATGGTCCAGAATAGAGCCTAGCTGCCCTACATCCCAGTCCAGTTCCCCTCACTTTCTTTTAATCCAAGTAGTTTTAATTTAACTTTCAACATTTCCTTTAAAAAAAAAAACAACAAAAGAAACAAATTATTTCATGTAGAAACATACTGATGGTCATCAGAAAAACTGGTCATTAGGTCATCTTGCATTCTATGCCTAACTTTGACATGTAGTCTAGTGGTTACAAAAAACATAGACAAGATCAGAGATCTGGTACAGTTATTCTGAAAGGCAAATCCAGCTACCAATGCTGCACTGTTTCCCATATCCTGTGTAGAGAGTATTCTCATTTCCCAGCTGCGCAGACATACTAGAGAGCTTTGCCAGTCTGGTGGTTGAGGGGTGCTGAGGACAGATGGACTGTGCAAGGAATTTACCTGCTAGCCTAGCAAGCTTGACTAAGCATACGCAAGTAGAGATTTTTCAGACTCTCACAACTCATCCAAAACTGGAGGTATTTTCATAGGGACAGGAAAAAGCATCTGTGATCTTTAGACTGGGGTAAAACTTCAAGCCCCTTCTTAAAATAAGGGAGGCACTAAAAATCTTCAAAAATGGCTTGGAAAAAAAAACAACCTAACTCTCACAATACTATTAACCTCTTCTCTGTCTCAGTTTTGAAAATGACTGAATCATTTTGGGGGAATTGTACAGAAGGCAGGAAGAAGGAAAAAAAAAATCAACCTAGGGCAGAAAACAAACCTAGAAACTTTTATGGTAAGCAGCTAAATTTTGGCAAAGTTGCATGCAGTTGAGAACAGAGCCTTCTAAAGGCAAATGATAGGCAGCCTTAAATATAGGCATCACTGGGTGCATCTACATGTGCTAGTATCATGGAGCAGTAAACTCTGGCACACATCATGCCAGAGTTTATTGCTCCCAGGCACCATATTTACACATGCACCTGGGACCACAGCACATTGAGCCAGGGTGGAGTATCCCCAGCTGACAGGGAGCCTCGGGCGGACTGGTGTCAGTCTGCCAGCCTGGGGCTGCTCTGACCCAGCTCAATGTGCTGTGGAGGAGCTGGCTGGGGCACATGGGTGCTTCAATGCAGGGCTAACTGACAGGCAGTCCCCACACTGAAGCTCCCTTATGCCCCAGACAGCCCCATCAACATCTACACATGCATTGCTGTGCAGCAAATAACACCACCACAGGATAATACTTGTATTTACAAGTAGTAACCTATGGTGGAGTTTATTAGTTAACTGCAGGGGCAGGCAATTATTTTGGGCAGAGGGCCGCTTACTGAGTTTTGGCAAGCCATTGAGGGCCGCATGACAGGCAGCCCAGGGCAGATAAATATTAAATTTTCTAAATTTTTTAGGGGCCCTGCGGGCTGTATAGAATGGCCTGGCGGGTTGCATCCAGCCCCCGGGCCGCATTTTGCCCACCCCTGGTTTACTGTAACCTCATAGGGCTGTACATGTAGATAGAGACTCTACTGAGGAGATAATTCAGCTCTGCAGTAAATGTCTCATGGAGACATGCTCACTACCACCTTTACCAATAATGCCACCTAAGCAAACACCTGGAATGAGAACTTCCCTCTAGGTTTACAATTCCACCTGCAATCTTATGTCCATTCTACAAGGAAACTGGCAATAAAAGCCTTTGTCACATGGTAAATAAAGCATTTCACTACTGAGCCTGTAACTGTTTTTGAAACTCCCAGCCACTGTGCATCGACTGTAAATAAAACAACCTGAGTTGTAGTATCTAAAACAATCGTATTCTTCATAAAACGGTTTGGTTTTCTGGTACCTTGTTCAGAATCAAATACATAAAAAACTCCAACATAAGTTTTGGAAGTGTACTTGGTAGCTGTGTTGATCTGAGATAAGAAGACTGTGGTGGGGCCACTCTCAGGGACCGGAAGCACCAGGGACAGACCCTGACATTCCTGGTGGAGGACTCAGGGATCCTGGCCCCGCTCAAAACTTACCGGAGAGGCAGGACAGGAACAGGAAGAAGCCGCGTGAGCTGGCGTTGTGCCGCCTTTTCAAGTGCCTGTCAATCAAGCTGGGCAGTGGCTGGATGATGACGGCAGCTGCGACCACCACTGCAGGAGCTTTAAAAACCCTGGCAGAAGCCGGGTGCAAGGGGGGGAACTCAAGAGGCAAAAATGACTTTTAAGAGACACTCTCATGGACCCAGAGGGAGACAGCCTTCCATTTCCAGCTCCCTCTGTGCAAAAATGAAGTTTATTTCCTACTTACGGGGACTTTTTACCATCTGGTACCATCTATACATTTCCCAGAGCCTGATGAAGGGACTTTAATCCTGAAAGCTTGCAGAAAAGGACAATTGTTTTGCAATTTCCCAGTTGGTCTAATAAAAGGTATCATTTTGGAACCAAGAGTTCTAGTTTTTTGTATGTCTAACATAAGCTTTGGGTATGTTATCTACTGTATCTATGACTGTTTACATTCTGCAAGTACAGCAGTTCAGGAGAAAAGTGGCACAATACATAGGCTTTTAAGACTACTGCCCTTGATCATTGCTGCAGACAAACAAGAGTTTTGGACTCCTGCTTGTAAAATAGAAATAAACCCTGATTTTATTTCCTCCACATCACGTTAACGAGAAGAGGATCGCAAAACATATTCATTCTCGATAGACTTGAAATCACTGGGCTTTATAACCATTAATTGATGACTGCTGAAACCATTCTAAGCAAACCCCCTTCACAGCAGACCCTGAATTTGTTTAAGTACCCATGTGTGGTAAAAGAAGCTGCACAGATTCTTCGCTTTTATGCAACCCTAATTCTTATTCCTTTCTTACCAACTGAACTTTATTCTTTGGACAATTCACCACACAATCAGTGCTTTAAACCTAGTGTGGTGCCTAGTATTTCTGCTCAGGTTTAGTGTTTAGTTCAGCATCTAATGTCAGCAATCTGGCTCAGGTCAGAGAGTAATCAGTTAGGCTAGGGACAGAAGTTACACATAAGCCAGTTTAAGTAATCAGAAACTGGTTTAAACCTGTAGCAAAACAGATGTTCAGTGCACATAAACCAGTTTCAAAATGGCTGAAACTGGTTTAAAGATAAACCTGGTTGAATGCAGTATCAGACTTAACTGATTTGGGTCAAACCAGTTGATGAAACTTCTCTCCCAGACCCCTTCCTGCTTCAAGTTAAATCACAGTCTCCCAGCATCCCAGCATGCTCTGCAGCCCTGGGCTGGGCTGTACTGCCTACTCAGAGAGTAGGGCTGACCCCACCCCTCTGCTCCCTAGCTGGAGCAGTGAGGGCTGGCTGACAAAGGGGTGGGAGGCAAGCCCCATTGGAGATGTGGGCCAGTCAAAAAAGGGAGGACTTCCCCTCACTCAGCAAACCCCAGGTGGGGTCTGGGACCAGGGAGGGGGGTTAAAAACCCCTTCCCCTGCTCAAACTTACTGCTGGTTACAACTGTGGATTACAAATCCCAGAGGCACCTAGAAGGGAAGGGAAGTGATCAGCAACCCTGCAAAGTCCTGCTGCTATAATTCTGGACTGAAAATCTCAGAGACCTCGGGGGCAGCAGGAAGAGATAGCAAACATACAGACCATGCTGGCTGCTTTCCAGAGAACCGTGCTCTATCACAAGCCGGCTTCTGACCTGAGCCACTGCAGGCATGCAGCTGCATTTCCTGAATCAAAGGTAAAATGGCTGTTCACTTCTGTTTCAATTTAATCTGTGCAGTTTAGACTAACCTGCAAAGACTGAATCGATTCTGCCTTAGACTTTGACTAGGGCTGTGTGAAATTTCGCTGGCCGTTTCATTTTGACACTGTTTTGACTCATTTCAAGCTCGAAACACAGAAATTGAAATGGAACAAAGGGCTTCAAAACAGCCTTGAAACAAAATGAAGCAAGTCGAAATGTTTCAAAAGTTTTGAAGCAGCCAGGTGGTGGGAGACAGGGGAGAACCAGGGCTATGCTCCCAGTGGTTCTGCTGCCCCATGTGGCTCAGTTGGGAGCACAGCCCTGGCTCTACCCGTCTCCCACAGCCAGGCTGCAGGAAGCCGATCACAGCGCAGGGGAAGGGAACTGAACCCAGTGACTCAGTTGTCCTCCCCAGCACTGCGATCCATTGGGCTGGGGAACAGAACTGAGCCCAGCTGAGCTGAGTTCCCTTCCCCAGCCCAATTGTAGCTCTGGGGAGGGGAACTCAGCTCAGCTGGGCTCAGTTCCCTTCCCCAGCCCAGTCAATTGCTGCACTGGGGAAGGGAACTGAGCGATCAGACTGTTCCCTTCCCCAGTTCGCCGGTCCCAGGCAGAAGCACCCGGCTTCCCTCCCTCATCTGGCAGGCAGATCAGGGGCCCATAACCCTGGGAGGATTGACACAGCCCCCACAGCCCTCCTGGGGTTGCAAGCCCCAGATATGCCTGCCGGATGAGAGAGGCTGTTTTGAGCTTCCCCATTATAGCATACAGGCAAAACAGCATCAAAACAGTGTCACTGTTTTGACGAAATGAAACGGAACAGCGGTTTTGAATCGAAACAAAATTTGAAATGAAACACTGTTCCATCAAAACCTCAAAGTGCAAGTCGAAATGGAACGGTGCTGTTTCGCACAACCTTATTTTTGACTGTCTGTACCTAGCCCCAAAGAGTTACTCAAGCAAGCAGGATGAAATTAAGCAAATAAGTAATAATACTTGTCTGAGCTCTACTGTTTTTCCAGATATATTTATACATGTTTTAAATAGCTGCTAAGCTGTTACCTATGTACTATATATTTGGGTATAAGTACATAAGAAAGATAGAGAGAAGTTTTTTGCATCCTTTCTAAACCACCTTATTCTCTTAACTGTATTTTTCACTTAGAGAATTATTAATGATTTGTTGTTTCTGTTGTTTACCACTAGCTCTGTAGTTTCCACACTGTTCTCCAGAGCACTTCCCAGTGGTCTGAGGAGCTGCTCCTGTCACAATGATGAAAGATACCTCAGTAAGTCTTGCTGATGGTTCCAGAAAAGTAAAAAACTCTTAAGGTTTCCACAAGCTTTTTGACCAAGTAACAAACAAAAAAAAAAGAATCAATGCATCTCTCTCTGGATTCTCCAGACATCCTTTGTCTCTGCTGTATAGTTTTGGCCTCCTTTGCATTTGTTTCCCACAGTTTATGCTGTATTCTATTGCATCTGTAATGTTTGGGGGTAGTTCAGCTTACAGCAAAGGCCAAGTGACAAGGAAAGAAGTGCAGTGGAAGCTGTAGTCAGTAAAAGGTGATTCAGTAATAACAAAAGTGCACTCTGCACTAAGTAGACACATATAAGACAGGAAAATAAGGAACATTTTAAAGAAATATTTGGAAAAACATTTTTCCAATTCTCATTTCTTACCATGTTATTTTTAGAAATGTAGAAAATTGTTCATTTTTCTGGTACTTTTCTCTTTCTCCATTCCAGAATTATGCAATTAGCCATTTGGTATTCAGAATATAATAATACCTAGCAGGGCTCCATGTTTATCCCTAATTTTCCTTGATATTGTAAATGGGTGACTATTAAAAAAAAGTGAAAAAAAAAACTAGGGGAACCCTCTCTTGCTTTTATTTCATTTTTCACTGAACTGTTATCTTTTTTTCTTAAAGGAAAAAAAAGCCAATTATAATTGCTTTAAAGTACGTAAGGTGGACCTGAGATGGGCTGCTGCTGCTTGCAGCTTAAGATTCCTACTAAAGTCAAAATTTTTAAAAGAGCCAGAAATTAAAATATTAAAAGTACTTGTCTGCTGACCTTGGCTAGATGTCTCTCGCTGAAAAGTCTGTTGCACTTGGCGAAATAGCTCTTTACTCGGACATTTCATTGCTGTATAATATGAAGCAATTCTTATTTCCACATCGTCATCAGCGGCTTGATACAGCTGGACTAATATGGTTCGCTAAAAGGGGAAAAATGATCAGAAACAGGCTAAAGGACCCAAGTACCCAAACATAGCTCGCATGGACTGATTTTAAGGTAAAAGGTTTACTAGTACAGGACCAAATCCAGTTCCACATAAAGAGTCTGATCCTGCTAACAGCTGTGTGTAAGTAGCTTTTCTTCATGTGAGCAGATGCTCTTCCCTTCAAAAGCCCTTTGGTGCCATGACTCCCATCCAGCCCCTTCCCCTCAGAACTCCTTCCAAATGTTTCCTCCTACCCCTCAAAGCCCCTAACCAAGGGACAGGCAGGGGCAGGGCTTTAACTACCCTCTGCCCCACAGCATGCCCTTAGCTGGTCTCCGCTGTCCTCCACTCTCAACAAATAGAAACAAACAGCTGGGTCAGGGAAGGGCTTGCTTCAGCTTTTTGTAATGCCCCTACCCGGAGAGACCAATCGCTCTCATTCCACCCATTCCCAGCTTTATGCTGCCCTGATTACACCACTGGCTCAGCATCCCAGACTACATCACCTGCTGCAAGAAATAACCCAGGAAAGGAGTTACTGATTCCCTCTGCCTCATCTTTGCAACTCCCTCCTGACTCTGAGCTTTGCTGCACAGCCAGCAAGCAGCTGTACTTGCCTTCAACTCTGTCCCTCCCTTCCCTGTCTCGCGATTGTGGGTTTGAATCCACAGGGAGTAAAGCAACCCAGTACAGGGTCCTAGGTTGTGGTACACCTTTATTGGACATGCTGGAGGTGAGCAGAGAAATGTTACCAGGATAATTGTATAAGAAAGGATACCTTGAATAGCAGAAGATCAAATGTTAACACCTATGAAGGAAAGGGTTTAATAGAAATCAACTAAATAATAATGAGCCATGAAGTCAATTGACTCCCTCAGCTCATGTGAACAGTAATGCAGCTGCCCCTGCTAGGCAGTTTCTTTTAAAATTTGAGTGGAGCAGGAATCAAAGTGGGATGTAACTGCACAACTAAACCCCTCCTCAATCCACCTGTGCTCCCACCTAAACAGTTGGTTCAATATAAAGATGTTGCCAAAAAAACACTTGTTTATACCATGAAACTGCATTCAACATTTCACTCAATTTCAATGCCAGCTCTGACCTTGTAACAATGACAGGATCATGTCGGTCACTTACATGCCAGCTTGCACGGAAAACACATCAACTCATAAAATTAGCAGGAAATGCTTTATCTTTCTGGGTATAACTCAGCATGCAAGTCTTCTCAAACGTTACAGAAAATGTCATCTTTCTCTGTAGCAGAACATTCTTGAGGCAAGTTTTGCTTCAGTAAAACAAGCTGGATATAGTTTTTTATACTTTTATACCAAGTGCTATGTTAACAACTATATTTAGCTCTGTCTTCCAGCCAGCTAAGAAAAGGAATGTCCTAGATGCAACCCTTATTTTGCCTACTGCATCAAACTTCCAATACTGACACTTACCATTTCACAAGTGGAGGCGGAGGAGTGGAATGTTAAAAAACACAGAAACAAAAACAAAAAACTGCCCTACAGTCTTCAGCAAAAACATGCAAGCCACACAACTCAAGTTACTGCTGTAGAAAGCCAGCAACAGGTACCAAAACAAGCCAACTTGGATGCCACAGTTTTCCAAACACAAGCCAAGACATAGTACCTCATAATCTATAATGCAGTATTTATAGTTAGTTCACCTGTACCTTTTTGCCTATGAAAAAATGATATTTGTCAGAAAAAATCCTCCAAATAGCTCTTTTGCTTCTCTAAGAAGCACATGGAATTTTCCAGAAAGAGTTCTGCTGGGAGATACTTTTACTCTCAGTTCCCAACCATTTGTCTAGTCCATAATTTATAGCATGCAGTCTACAATCCAATATAACAATAATAAACCATCAGCCACTGACAATGTCAGTCACTTACATTGGCAGTGCAGGGAATGCGTCTGAAGGCCTGTATGGCTGCTAGTCGGATTTCGGTAGGGTTGCTTTTCTGGAATGCACACAAACTCAGGACAGGAGTGAGAGATGTGGCTGCCAGACCTGCATTTCCAATTGCTTTTAACACTAATTGAATCTGAAAATAAAAAAGCAAGGCAGAATGAGAAACTGGAGCTGGAATTGTTGCAAACGTATCCAGTCATCTGTACACAATGTTTTATTATGGCCACATTATCAAGCCTTGCTTCAAAATTCTCTGCCTAAAACAAACTTCTGCTCATTGTTGCAATTTATTGCAGCATGAGACATTCTCAATTAACAGAAAATATGATCTGATCATAAGACTGAACCACAGAACCAAATTCACCTGTAGACAGGATGCGAAGAGTATTATCTTAGATACTTTAGGATAGCTGAATTTTCTTTGCAAAATTTCAGAACAGAAATTACTGGTAGCAGCCTTGATCCAGGCTAGCAGTTTGGATCAAAAAGGGTGATTGAAGACCATCTGCCTATCAGCCAGAGAATTAGACCTGGTCACAAATTAAAATTTTGTTGGCATAGTTATATCTAGTAGCATGGTGAAAAAACCAAAAAACTATCCCAGCAAAAATGCTATTGTAGAAGCAGTTATACTAGCAACATAGCCCTTTTTGCCAGAGTTACTTATTTCGTGTGGAAAATTGGTGTAAGCTAAGCCAATAAAACCACTCTTTTGCCAGCGTAAGCTGTATCTTCAGTATACCAGTTACACTAGGATGCATATACCAGCAAATCCTTTTTTGTTGAGACAAGGCTGTACATGCATAGAAAATCTGTTTCCCTGTAACCAAAATGGCACTTAAGTGAAATTGGCTTGGAACTGTAAAACTACAAAGGCATAAAAATATAGTTCATATGCATTTCAACATGTCAGGAGATCGGATATAGCATAAACTATTTCAAGTACTTTAAAACCATATCTTATTTTGATTGGGGTAAAAACTTGGTGGGAAATTCTGGATTTCTGGATACAAAGATTTCATAGATTTTCATAGACATTCAGGCTGGAAGGGACCCCGAAGGGATCATCGAGTCCAGCCCCTGACCCCAGAGGCAGGAAGTCAGCAGGGATCATTGGATCCCAGCAAGATAAACATCCAAATGTCTCTTGAAGGTGTTCAAAGTGGGTGTTTGAACTACCTCCAGTGGCAGGCTATTCCAGACCTTGGGGGGCTCGGACAGTAAAGAAATTCTTCCTTATGTCCAGCCTGAAACGGTCTTGCAGGAGTTTATAACCATTCAACCTCGTCATCCCTTGGGGCGCTCGGGTGAACAAACGTTCCCCCAGATACTGGTGGTCACCCCTGATAAACTTACAGGTGGCCATCAGATCACCCCTGAGCCTCCGCTTTTCCAGGCTAAAGAGCCCCATAGCTCTCAGCCTGTCATCGTAAGGTCTATTTTCCTGACCTCTGATCATGCGCATGGCTCTTTTGTGGCCTCTTGCAAGCTTCTCCACATCCTTTTTGAATTGTGGGGCCCAAAATTGGATGCAGTACTTCGCCAAGGCCAAGTACAAGGGGAGAATGGCGTCCCAGCATTTGCTTGAGAAGCATCTATGGATGCAAGCCAGCATTTTGCTCGCTTTAGTAGCTGCAGCATCGCATTGAAGGCTCATGTTCATCTTGTGGTCAGTGATGACCCCCAAGTCTCTTTCTTGGCTGATTAAAAAGTCATTTGCCAACAGATGCCATACAATTACCTCAGCTGTTTCCTACATCAAATATTAGGGAAACTGGCAACCTTGCAGAAACCAGACAGCATAGACAACGGTTGGAACCAGATAAATGTTGGAAAATGACAGCCTTTTAATAGCACTATTGTGCCTAAACTACATATAATCAACAGATTCAAGTTCTGGTAGGTCAACTGATCTTTTTGTGGTTCTTAGATAAACTGTATCATACAAAGCCTGATTTTTCTCCTGTACCAGCGTCAGTCAAGAGTAACTGAAGCCAACCAAGATTAAATGCAATAGAAACCAGCGTAAATGAATAAGCCTGAGGCCCCATTTGCTGTCAGATGTTTCTGATAAGATCTCAGCCAGGAGATTCTTTCCACTGTATTTGGATGTTAATTGTTCCATGACAATTTTAGTAGAATTCTCCTAAGCCACAGTCCTCTTCCTCCTACCCCTTGCAGCATGGAGCTGACCAACTTCTGGTTGCTGCCAGGATTGTGAATGTAAACACATGGGCTAGGGACAGACATTCAAAATGCCTGAGCCTAAATTGATTCAATCTTTGCAGGTTAGGTTAACTTGGCTAGGCTAAATCAGCTTTGTAACTGCACAGACATCCCAGAAATGCAGGCACATGCCTGCGGTGGCTCAGGCTAGAAGTCGGGGGGGGGGTGCTAGAGCAGCCCTCCCTTCCTTCCACAGTACTGAGCTGAGGGGGGCCATGGCCAGGCCCTGGCAGGATACTCTGATTAGCACAGCAGAGATTTGATAACAGTGTTTATCACCCCATTAAGAAAACAGAGGGACATTACCAGCTATCTGTTGATTCTGCATAGATGGTAGCCAGCATGTGGTCTGCTAATACACAGACACCTCCTCAGCAAGGCAGAGGGGAGCAGGAATTCTTGCTTAGCAGAGAGTGGTGAGGGGGAGGGGGGAAGCAGCCTGCAGTCTCTGGAGCTGCAGCCAGGAAGCAGAGAGACCCGCCCAACCCAGAGAGCATGCCAGGATACTGGGGGAGTCTGATTTATCTTAAACCAGCAAGAGGTCTGGGACAGATATTGCATAAACTGGTTTGAGCAATAACAGTTAAGTCTAATACAACTAGGTTTATCTCAAACCAGTTTCAGCCATTTTCAAACTGGTTTATGTGCACTGAACATCTGTTCTGTTACACGTTTAAACCAGTTTCTGATCACTTAAACCAGTTTGTGTGTAATGTCTGTCCCTAGCCATGGTTACCAGGAGCAGCCACTCTTTTTTGAAACCCCTGAAATCGCTGCCCAGGGCAGCTGCCCCTATTGTTCCCTCCCAGTTATGCCACTGCAGCCCCTGAAAGGCCACGAAAGTGAGCATTTGAACATTTTTATCTCCCTTGGAATTCAGTAAAGATGAGGGATGCTCAGCTCTCTAAAAGATTAGGCCTTTTGTATTTAGGTGCCTAGCTTAGTATGTAGATTCTTAATGATATGTAGGGGTGCGGTGCCTGTAGACGTGAGGAGAGACTGTACAGCGCATCATGCTAATTAGAATGGTTCCATCAGCCTCTGCTTTGTGCATCAGTGTCCATATGCTTCAAAATGGCAGTGGGGGCACTTTAACTAAAGCTTGTTCAACAAGGTTTAGTTAAAGCACCCCCACCACCTTTCTGAAGCGTGGGGGCCCTGATACACGAGACACTGTGAGTGCTTTAATTAGAGTGGCTCTTGGATACACTCTAATTAAAGGACTCTGCCCCCTGCCCCCCCCCACCCCAAATCCCCAGTGCATGTGTAAAAATATGTTAGCTGTCCAACATCCATTGATTTCAATGGAAATAAGTTTGGAGATCTGTGCCAAGGGGCCTACATTGGACAGTGAGTGTGTGAAACCTTTGGCTACATTCTGCAGAGAGTTTTGAGATTTCACAGAACTGTAAATATCAAATTATTATGTATTTTCATGTAAAACTCATGCATGTAGTACCAAGGGGAAAACTCCTTTGTTACGTGAATGGCTTTTTAAAAGAAAACTAGGTTTGCTGAGAAATACATGTTGAAGAAATTAAGAGAAATCTGGCTTACTATCAGGAAACAGTTCCTAATGGGGAGAGCTATTAGACTATGGAATAGTGCCTCAAGGGAAGTGGTAGAAGAGCTATTGCCTGAATCATTTAAAAACCAGGCTAGACGCAGCATCAGAAAATATACAATTGGAAACAATTTTGCCCAGGCCAGGAGACAGAACTAGATAACTTCATACAGCAGACCTTTTCCACCTGTATTTCCATTTTCCTTCTATAATCCTATGACCCACAGGGAAGTCAAACAAGTTCAGGAATGGAATTTTTATCTCAAGAGTTCACTTGAAATTCCCATTACATAAAACTGTTTTATGAATTATTCCTTCACTAAGTAATGTATGTAGAAGTGAGAGTGAACAGACTGCTCAAATCATACAAAAAAAATAAAAGTATGCAAATGCTTTGCACATTGGGACCTTAAATAAATACCAGGAAGCACAAAACACATGATATGTTTTTGGTGCTCCTATTATACTTTCTAGCACACTTTCTAGCACTACCATAGTTGTCTGAGTTTTAAGTAGTAGAAAGAGGAAGCTAATTTAAATGAAAGGCGAACTGGTGGGAAGATATGTCCAAAAGAACAGAAAACAGTTAAAAAGGAAGAATCTAGGAATATGCACTAATTCATTCCCAGAGCAACAGACAGCTCAAACAGGAAGCAACCAGGACAATACAATTTCCCTTCTGTAGTAGATCCGCCAAGTGTCATGCCCAGCAACTCCAGCTATGCTGCAATTCCCCAGAGTAAATCAGTCTGTAACATCACAGGCTGTGGCATAGCAACTTCTTTCTGTCCACCAAGACTTTTTTTGCCCATCTCCTCCCACATAATAAAGAACATATCTGAATTTATAAAGAGAGAAACACTTATGAACTTATAGGCATTTGTGTCATTACTGCATTGTATTTCATTTTTATCATACAAGTACTTAATATTATTATATCTCAAGACAGAAAGAAAGAGTGGGCATTTGAAACTGGAAGCTGCTCTGTGGAGTTATTCCACAAATGTCTAATGGCAGATACCTGGCTGAGGTCTTCCATTTCTTCCAAGCTGCAGTTTCTTCCCAGGTATCCCTCCAGAATCCTTGTTACCATCTGCACTGCAGGTACCAGGTTACAGGCACTGGTACTTGAACAGAAGTTATGCACCATAGCTGTTATTCCTAGGAAGGTAGTCTGGCTTGCTCCTGGTGATTCTAGCAAAGGCTGTAAACCAACACAAGGACACACTGCTTAAGAAATGTAGCTCTCTTGTTAGTACTCTTAGCACTTTATGGCATTTATGTGTTCAAAGAGATCTGTAAGCATTAACTAGCTCAACTTTATAGTTTTCAGAAACAAAATTAGATTAGCAGTAAATTGAAATGCACCCCCCCCATTTTCTAATATTTTTTTCTTTGAAAGGCTTAATAAAAATATCCCAGGGCAGTTCAGAGCACAGCCCCAGAAGGAAATACAATAGGAAAGTACAATAGGAAATTCTTCCAGCCACACACGTACAAATGACAGAACTAGGAGCAATGGCGCAGCAAGGGAAGTTTAGGTTAGATATTAGGAAGAATTCTCTCACTAGGAGGGTAGTAAAACACTGGATCAGGTTACTCAGAGAGGTGGTAGAAGCTCCATCCTTGGAGGTTTTTAAGACCTGGCTAAACAAAGCTTTGGCTGAGATGATCTAGTTGGGGATGGTCCTGCTTTAAGGAGGGGGTTGGACTAGATGATCTCCTGAGGTCCCTTCCAAACCTAATTTTCTATGATTCTATGAAATGAGGACTGAATTGGCATGATTTGCAATCCAAGGAAGGACTTGAGGCTTCCCTCCAAAGTGAAATGTACTCCAAGACAATCCTCTTAGTTAGACACTGCTGTGTTTTTATCACAAATAGGACTGGGATCTCCAAGTTAATATCAAGATACAACATATAGAAACCAATGATTCAGGACTGTTGTACCCTAGCTGTAGGTAGTGTGGACATTAATACAAGTGGCTATTCTAAAGTACTCTCAACAGGGAAGTGTTTTAAATAAAGGCCCCCCATTGTAGTACAATTTAGAACAGATATAACAATTGTGGTGCACACATTAAATATAAACTTTTATTGAGGTGGAAGAGAGTAATATTATAATAAAAAGTGACACTTTATTACCCATGAATGGAGCATTAATACCAAGAGTTAATAAATGGTTAGTCATAGAATCATAGAAAAATAAGCCTGGGAGATTGTTCAGGAGATTATTTAGTTCAAACCCCTCTCAAGGCAGGGTCATCCCTTTCTAAACTATTATCTAAGTATCCAACCATTTACTTCAATGGGCCAATAAGTTATTTATAATCATGGATATCACCTTCCACTGATATAGCTATATATAATCCATTCTTCTCATGCATGTGACATGCTTACAATTGCTATAAAACATTTATGAGTCCCTTATATGCCATTTATAAGCAGTCCCTTAAAATATGGGGTTTACCCACATGCTATATATAGAGCCCACTCTTGAAAACCATTCCTCACATAAAATTAGTCTATTAAATTCAAATAGGACCTGCAGTCTGTGAAGTTTGTGGCTACTATAGCTACAACAGGCTGAAATGCTGAATTTCTGTTTTATGGGAAATGTCAAGATTTCAAAATTAAGTTTTATTCCAAATTAAAAAAAAAAAATATATAAATATTTGGCGATTTCCCATTTAACAGAATTTCCGGGGGAAAATCATTTTGGAAGATTTTGATATTTAATTTTTAGAATGTGATTATTTCCATTTTCATTATTTTTATATTTTACATTATTTTGGTATGGGATATATAAGCGTGCTAAGCAGGGGTTGCCTGTATTAATTGGTTCCTGAAAAACTGAGTATTAAGTGAAACCAAACGTTAAGCAAAACCAACTTTCACAAGCCACCAAAAGTCACCAGAATCAGGGCTGTCAGGATTCACATCAGTTTCAGTGCCAGCTGTATGATGCCAGCAAGCGTTATAACGATGTGCTGAGCGTTAAGTGGAAACATGTATCAAGGCAAAAGAAGCATTATAGTTAAATAGCGATAAGCAAAACAGCACTAAGCAGGGGTTGCCTGTATACAAATATGATTTGTGTGACACTCAAGTATGTTAATTCTCCTAGAAAATAATGGGAGTTTACAATTCTATACAGGATAATATGGATTGAATTGATTGATTGAATAAATATTATTGATTTGGCAACAGGTTTCTGTTGCACTTGCTGGCAATCAAAGCAGTTTCTGATTTGTGCTTTAGTAATGAGATAGCAACTAGGAGCTTTTCAAACCCTATACAATTTAGCTTTCTTATAGAATTGTAAACCCAAACCAACTATCAGATTAAGAGCAGATGTGGAGGTCCAGGGAGGAAAACAAAAAGATCAGCTGGAGAGAGGAAGAGATGGAAAGGAAAAAAAGCAGCTGGAGGGAGAAAGGATGAGAGGGGACAGGGGAAGCAAGGGAAACTGTTGAAAAAATCATAGTCCCAGCACTCTGAAGACAGGAATAAATCCAACAACAGCTCATAACATATCTGGTCAGTGTGTAATGAATGTCTATGAATACAGCATGGCCATTGAGCAGAATCATCATTTATGCATGGTAGTCAATCTTTTAATGTAACACACAAGTTTAATGAGCCGATTCCATGAGTAAAAGGTGTACTTATGTGTAAGTGTTTGCAGGACCATTTCTCATGAGTCATGATCTATTAACAGATGGTTCTCCAATATGCAATCTTCTAAAAAAAAAAATGAAAACAAAACTTCTCAACTAAAGGCAACATAAAGGAGAAAAATACTGAAAGCTAGTTGTGTCCCTGACTGTCTGTTTTCATAATGAACGTATCTTTCCATTAGACCTATAAATCTGTAGTCAAACCCAAGATCACCCTCAGTTCCAAAGTAAATATGCTTTTGTTAAAAAACCTTTCGTTTCAGCAGGGATTCAGAAAACTCAATGAATATTATATGAATTGTTATGAATCTTATATGAATGCAGTACGAATTGTTCCTAATACATGCTGTGGAAAGCCTATGAAACTCTTTGGCAGTTGTCCCCCTAGTACCCTAGTCTATAACATTTGATCAGGAAAAAAAGGATGTGAGAAACAGCTAGTTTGACTCTTCATGTCTAATCAATAGATCATTGGCAGTCAAGCCAAAGACGCACAAAAAATTATTATTGAGACATTCTACTCTGTTTAATAATGATTTGTTATAGCTTGCTTCTGCCCCTCCCCCTCTAGGGGATTTTTAAACACATTGAGTTACATGAATATCTATTAAGCGCTGGCCAACTAAAACAGGACAGTACAACCCATTCTTGTTGCAAAAAAGGCAAAACATTGCAGTGGGTTGTATTAACAGAAATGTTACAGGCAACCCCCACTTAGTTCTCTTAATTGGTTCCTCAAAAACCGAGCGCTAAGCGAAACAAGTGTTAAAAAAAACTGGAAGTACTTGGCAACCCAAGATGGCGACCACAAGTGTTTTTAATGACCAAAGATGGCAACTGAGAGCATTATAATGAAACTCACTGAGCACTAACTGGAATCAGGTAGCAATTTAAAATGAGTGTTATAACAAAATAGCACTAAGCAAAACTGCAGTAAGCAGGGGTTGCCTGTACTTGCAAACAAGGGAAGGGATTTTTCTGCTCTATTCAGCACTGGTAATGCCTCACCTGGAGTACTGTGTCCAATTTTGGACCCTACATTTCAAGGACGATGTGGACAGACTGGAAAGAATCCAGTGTAGAGCAACAACAATGGTTAGAAGCCTGAGAACTAGAGGTGCACCAATAGATCGGTCTGATATCAGATCAGCACCGATATAAAGAAAATTTAATATCTCGAAAATTGGCCATCTCAGCCTGATCATTTGGCCGCTAAATAGCCTGTGCATGCCTGCAGTGCAGCACAGGCAGTGAGGAGCACAGCCCAGCAGCATGGAGAGCTGACACCAGCTGATAAGTCTGGCGTAGGGGGAGGGAAGGGGCATGGGGGGAGGCAGATCAAGGCCCCCATGGAGAGGAAGGAGTGGGGCTGGAGCTGGGGCAGGGGCAGAGGCAAGTGCTGCCCAGCCAGGGTGGAGCGGGGCAGGGAGGGTGCTGGACAAAGCCAAGGGTCATCTGGGGGGAGTACAGGGCGGGGAAGCTCCAACCACTG